CATGAATAAATCATAGCAACGAGTACTCAGGCCTCAAGCTTATGACACGCTGGGTGGGATCAGAGTCCTGTGAGCTGGGAAAAGAGATATATGCTTGATAGTATATACCTTTCTGGCTGGAGGATGACTCAGATATATATGAATGATAGTATGTACCTTTCTGGCTGGAGGCTGACTCACATGTATATGAATGATAGTATGTACCTTTCTGGCTGGAGGCTGACTCAGATGTATATGAATGATGATATGTACCTTTCTGGTTGGAGGGTGACTAAGTGGATAGCACTGCAGCCTCAGTGTCAGAGCTACCGGATCGATTCCCAGTTTTGTATATAAACTGCCATTTCTATCACAGGCAAAAAACCTGTGATGTCTTCATCTCCTACCTGTCTTGTGCGCCCTTGCTCTGGATGTTCTTCGCACCAGAGCTGCACAAGTAGGGGTACGCGATGCATGCTAACCGCTTCTAAACCTCCCGTTAGAACGATCTGAAAAAGGTTCATAATTCTGTCTTGACCTGGCTGCCCATTCTTCTCTGCTAAAGGCTTTACAATAGTTTACAATCTCTCCATTGGCTGATCAGCTATCTTTTGCGATGTCCAATATATGGAACCAAATTATGATGTAAAGTGTGCTGGTGACAGGGGCACTGTAAAGGGGGAGTGGAGTTAGGATGATTCTAAGGGCCCCTGAGTGACAGAGGCTCTAAAGAAGTTGGAAGATAATAGGGTTGGTCTGGGTTTGAGGCCTAATGTGATATGCTTTCATGGGGCCCGAAATCTCAAGTGGCGCCCCTAGCTGGTGATGAAACAGTTACACACTATATTTTTACTAATTTAATTTCAGATTTAAACTTTATTTATTGGTCAGGTTTGTATGGTTGTTACCCATGTTATTATGATTGTTTGGGTTTCCTGCTGCAGTCCAAAAACGTGGCTGTTGAGCTAATCCCAGATGCCTCAGAGCACATGGCCGGATCACATGAGGGATGGGATGTCAGTCCTTCTCGGGCTACAATCGCAATCACACACAAGGGCAGCTTTGTGACACTGTTGGGCCTAAATGCATGTCTCTGGAGCCAAAGGAAACTCACCAAAGAGGGGAAGAGCATCCAAACACTGCACACGCCCCCAACCCTAGAGGTGTGCTGGCTATTGGGCAATGCTGCTGTCATTCTATGTAACAGAAAAGGGGGAATGCTCTCTGTTATTCTTTCTGCAACATCTGTACCGTGAGTGAAGGTCATTAAACGGTGTCATTAAACGGTGTCATTTTCCTATGTGGGTCTGTTATGAAACAGCAGAACTATATACGCCGCTTGGAAAGCACCGTGACTACCGCTGTTTCCACGGAAGAGAGAGGTGGGGTCGGCTAGGACCCGAAAATTATAAAGTAACCAGAAACTTCCGCTTTAAACTAAAGATTTCAGCGAAGTAATTGCAAAGCCAGCAAGTTACGGGTGTCTGTTATAGTCCAAGAAAGAGCGTCGAATTTCAAATAAACGTAGGTGAAATTTAATCTTGAGACGAATCGTAATATAATTTTACAAACATGTGGTATATACTAATTGAATGTCGCCAGATTTACTTATAACTTATTTTACCTGAAAGATTTTGCGTGTTTCTCGATGTTTTCTCTCTATCTCAGGTCGTGCATCCCACTGGAAAGATACATGAGTCTCCCACTTAAGGTGCTGGTTATCGCCACATTGGTGTCCGTGTTTGCGACACTGCTGGCGATGATCGACTCGGTGGGGGGGTTAATGTATGTGCGAAGCACTTCGGAAGGCATCCTGCGGCAGACAGCGGAATCAGCCGGGCATCCCTGCGTGATACAGTGGCATGGGGAGCCGAAGACGCGCTCTGGGCGGAGTGCGGGGGACTCGCAGATGTAATATGAGCGTGAACTATGGATCTTTTCGAGAAAGTGGAATTTCACAGCTTCATATGCCACTGGACGGTGATCGCGACAATAGATTTTTGGGATATTAAAAACTTTACGTAATAACTGCATAATGTTTAGCTCAGTCCGATTCTTGACTAAGGGAAGTCGCCAAATAGTGGAATTATGAAAAGTAAACTTTCTGTAAGCCGAAGATATTGCATTAATAAAATATAATTGATCTATCTGATACTGTTAAAACTACTGAGACTACTGTGATTAAATATAATGTAAATAACCCCCCGATTTATGAACTTAATGACAAATACAAAAACTATACCATGAACAGATTTTACTTGGTATGCACATCAAATAAACAGTTTGGTGCACTTCATTAAAAAAATTGCATGACATAATTATATTTCTTATTTGTTTAACGAACTGCAACGTACTATTATTTTTGATATGTAGCTGCATTTTTAAAATTGTAAGAATGTAACAAATGTTGGACTATGGATATGACATCTTTATTAATAATTGTTCCCTTTAACCGCAGCTTACAGTATTATCTTTTTACTGGGCCAGTTAAGATTAAGGGTCTTGCTAAAAATTGCAGCAGCAAATTCTTGATCAGTTTCCCTGACAATGTCAGGTACTACCTGGACAATATAATGAAGACCAGTGCATAATTATTGGGCGATTGTGTAATTAGTTAAAAAATGATAATCATCTATCTAAAGTGGCCGAAAAACAGTTTTGTATAGAAATACGTTTTCTTAAAAATAACGTAATGATTTCACACGCATCCATCCATCCTGCCTTCCATGGGTGTAAATTACGGGGGGATCGGGGTTGTAGTCCCTCCAATAAATCAAAACCAGCTAATACAACGCCCCCCCCCCCCCAATAATCATGTTTCCCCCGTAATGGGTGGAGACCTCAACCCCCACAATGTTCCAGCCAAAGTTATGCCCTCGCTGCCTTCTATCCATGTCATGGTCGCGAGGTTATGATTTAATATTCTACATTTACATGTAAAATAGAATAAACATTAACAGAGGGGGGCACATTGAGCACTTTGAAGGGACAAGGGCTGCCACTCGTGTTAATTAGCCATTCTGCCTTCAGCAACTGGATTGTTAATTATCAGGTCCTGACCTATTCATTTCCAGTTAATCACATTAAGAAAATGAATAGTTAAACAAAGAAATTGATTCAGTGGGAGGGGAGTATACCATTAGATTGCTCCTGCAACCCCCGTTTAACGTTTAATAACTTTGCTTTATTAAAATCAATACTTTTGTTTACAATTAAAATTAATTTAAGTTCTGAAGGATGGGATTAAATAGATTAACTTATTCTTCAGACTTTTTTCTGAGTATCCAATATGAAGTATAAAATAAATTTCTTCCACGGGTTTGAGGACGTGGCGGTTCATAGCCAATCAGATAACCGTGTTCTACTGCGGCGGACCAATCGGAAGACGCCAAAGGAACGGTATGTCACTGACGCGCGGAGCCTCTAGATCGATTTTATTGGTCCGCCTTGTTTTTTTCTGCAGGAAACACTGTAGCGAAGGGGCGTAGATCCGCCGTTCTTTTCTTTATTCAGACTTCTGTGGTTACTGAGTAGATCGCGCAAGGTGTTTGACACTATATCTATTGGTAGGTGTGCTTCTTCAGCGCTGTACTTCAGTTTGGACTGGTAATTCAGATATCATGTTTTTTCTCTTACTTAGTCGTTTTGCACTGACATCATTGCTTTACCGCTATTCGATCTTGCCGGGAAATAACGTTCCGCACACCATACCATAGATGGCTGGCTGGAAGCTATGAATTTTTGATTTGCCTTGTGTGTTTTTATGTTTGCCGATCGGAATTTGTGCTTTTTTAGATTATTACTAATTATTGTTGTTTCTACACTGTTAGATTCCAATTCATAGTCTACTCTATAAGTGAAGAATATTGGGTTATGTCACTATGTGTCACGGACAAGTTCGTGCGTCCAGCCAAAATTTTTAATTGATAATGAACTTAATTGGTGCGCTTTGTGTTTTTTTATGTAACCGTACGAAAATGGAAGCGTTGGTCTTGATATTCTTTCTAAATTCTGAAATAGATATGCCATACATAATTTAAGGTTTGTGTCGTCGGGGAGAGAAATGTCTAGAAATCTAAGCGTTAATGTCCCAGTCCGTTATTGGTAATATCGTTTCCATTCGTCTGTTACATAAAGGAAATGCGCCGATCTAATGTTTCAGTCGATTCCTCGAAGCATTTATTTGCTTAACAATATATTATTAAAATTCAACTTGGTCCTCATTAATGATGTGGCAGCCGCTTAGGAAACTCCGTGGTTGTTAAATAAATTAATTTATCTCAATGGCAGCTTGTCTTCGAAGTACAGGTCTTTATTCTGGATTAGCTCGTGGCTTATGTGGCTTCAGCGTGTTTTCTTCTATCTCTCACACCATCCTCAGGGACTGGGTAGCTAATGACATATAATTTGGGAAGATCAGGGCTTTGAGAACAGTCATTAAAATGTGTTTTTACATTTTACATCATTCTTCACTTAACTACAATAACCAGACTGTGTCGTCTTTATAGTAAGCAACTATAAAAGGCTTTTGATTACTTTTTTGTGACATTCTTTGTTTAGGTATTGTCATGGTTAAGGAACTGGAACTGTGATCAACAAGTGTAAGACGTTTCCTACTTTAGATCCCATGAACGCGTGTAGCATCTCCATCCTGTGACGCTGGCAGTGTGGCACCAGTGAAGCAGTGCCAACTTGGGAGACTGTAGCGAGGTTCTCAGTGTTGAATGTGCTGATGAAATCCCTCATCCTCCACTACGGAAAATGGCTGATCGCCCACTGTAAACATCTCCATTGTTTTAGTAGTTATGTCTTTAGCTCTGGTGCTGCTGAATTTGAACATTAACTAAAGTCGAAATATCAGATGGCAAAACTGACCAAGGCTGACACATAGAGCTGATGCCAATGCCTTGATTAAAAAAAAAAAAATGTTTTTTAAGCAGACATCAACCAATACCGATACGTTAACCAATTATGTCATGCATATTCAGCTATAGTAGACCCAAACAGGTTGATGTGGCGCCTTGGTCAGGTTCTGATTCTCATCGAACATCTCATGTCCTGACAGAGCGTTGCATGATGGAGCTTCGGCCGCTGGTCATGTGCTTTGCGCTTTGTGTGGTGTATGCCACCAGCAAGCCCATGGAGAAGAAGGACCGCATTCACCATGATGACCCGCTGAGCGAGAAGGAGCACGATGACGCCGAGAGCTTTGACTACGACCACGACGCCTTCCTCGGTGAGGAAGAGGCCAAGACATTTGACCAGCTCACCCCCGAGGAGAGTAAAGAGAGACTGGGGTACGGAACCATTGAACGTTAAGTACGGTGATGGTCACAGGATTCTCAGTACCTATTTGGTTGTGTGCATCTGTCATTCTGTGGCAGGTTTTCCTACCATTATAAACCCCTGAAGTTTTTTCATATTTAATAAATTCCCTAAATTTGCAGTGCTGAACGTATAAGGTGAATGGCATGTTTTGTTTTTAATCAGTTTATTCCAACATGAAATAGTATGTCTGTTACCTCACGCCGTCACTTACCTGGCTAGCCTGTGGATCTCGTCTCTCCACAGCAAGATTGTAGAAAAAATCGATGAAGACAAAGACGGGTTTGTCACAACAGAGGAGATGAAGAAATGGATCAAGTTTGCGCAGAAGCGCTGGATTTATGATGACGTGGACCGCCAGTGGAAGGGCCACGACCTCAACGAGGATGGCGTCATTTCCTGGGAAGAATACAAGAACGTGACCTACGGCTATGTGCTTGGTAGGTCTCCATTTCTGAGGTTTGTCGCTCTCCTGTCAAACGGTCATACGTCAGATGGACGCCGACATGAACGACTTTCTTATTGATTGTATACGTTGGTATGGTCTTTGTCGATTTTTTTTTTTTTTCTTTTCTACAATCTTGCTGGACTTAGTTAAAAGGGTTCACAAGAATCGGATAAATAGTAGGGGGTACCTAGTATGGAATGGTCTCACTATGAGCAAGGCTGGTGTGATCTCGTGGGAATAGTATTGAATTGTAACTTTTGGCGTTTTCTTGGGTAAGAGCAAAAAGTTGAGCATGGAAGCTGAGTAGGTCCAATGTTCAGCAGAAGTTACAGCCAGAATCAGTGCCTTTATTGTGTTCAGTATACTCTGGCCCTTCTTTGTATACTCCAGCATACCCCGATCACTTTTAATGTGACAATAATGCCGCTCTGAAAAGTGTCACATGAGCAGTAACGCTGTGTGCCCCACAGATGACAATGACCCCGACGACGGCTTCAACTACAAGCAGATGATGTCGCGGGACGAGAGGCGCTTCAAGATGGCCGATAAAGATGGCAACCTCATCGCCAGCAAGGAAGAGTTTACAGCTTTCCTGCACCCGGAGGAGTTTGACTACATGAAGGACATCGTGGTGCTGGTGTGTCTGCATTGCAGTGGAAAATTATTGGTGTATGAGGGAGGAGAGTAGTGTGTGATTTCCCAAGTGAGAGGATGTGGAAAGTGTCTGTGTGTATTACACAGAGTTAAGGGGTGTTTCTCAATATCAAGAATCGTAATTGTGGTCTTGGCAGGACCGGTCTTGCTAACTTGCCTCCCAAGAACTAACTTGGGGCTCAATGAATCATGGGATTGGTCTCATTGGGTGAGGATGCAACTGATGCATCCTTGATATTTGCGGCAAGAGTGACATCTCAGGATTTTGCCATCCTCCGTACTTCTGTTCTTGAGTATTGGATCTGGTCTTCGGCAATGAAAGATGATGGTAAAACATGTACAGGAGAAGACAAATACGGTCAAGTGTGCATGTTGAGAAACACCCTAGACGTGGTTATTCTTTATCTTCTGTAGGAAACTATGGAGGACATTGACAAGAATGCTGATGGATTTATTGACTTGGAGGAATACATTGGTAAGTACAGTAGTTGCATCAGATTGATTGGAAAAAATTGACGTGCAGTTCAGTACAGTTCCTTAAACTTGGCTGGTTTGCATGGAACATGAAAGACTACACACTGTGGAAACATGCAAATCATAAAACATCTAACAGAGTGAGAGACACCCTTGGTACTTAAAAGGATCAGAGTCACTCCTTTTGAAATGTTTATTTTCTCATACAGCAACAATGCAATAAAGATTTTTTTTGATAGATTTTTTATTTTTGGTTGTTGCATATTTGGAAGACTGAAGTTGCGTATGTATTTCCTTTAATAAGCTGAAATCTTTCTTATTGAATTAAGGAAATTCCAGTGAAATTT